GTGTGTCAACTGTACCACCTGATAATGATGTGTGATTGTGTCCAGGCACGGGCACACTTCGGCCCAGGGGCCGGATGCGGCACGTTTGTCTTTTTAATCTTTTTTTTTCAGATAAATTTTATTAATCTGGCCCGTCCAAATTGTATTATTAATTTATATTATCCTTATACTTCTGCCTTTTCCCTGCAATACCCGCATTTCTCCAATAGATGACGTAGCACAGGCTTAAAACGCATTTTAGCCTTTATGACTTTCAGATGTCATTTACGACCCCCCCCCCCGTCAAATTTTCAGGACCTATTGTGGCCCGCGAGTCAAAAATGTGCCCACGCCTGTTCTAGGTGTTCTTCATTCACTGCATCCTGCTCATCTTCTTTAAAGCAGGCAAACACGCTTTGGGCACATTACTGCCACCTATAGGGCGAAGTGTCTATCAGTATAACTGCCGTGCCACATTCAGCAAACTGAATAAATAAATAAATGTTCGTGTTAGTTTATTAGTTTGCATGTTAGTTCAGGCCTTCATGTAACAAAAACAACCTACAATGATTATTCTAATACCATGAATGTGGTCTTCTTTATTACTGTTGCTTCGTAATTTAAAAATATATAAAAATATTATTATTTCTACTATTTTTCTGTTTAATGTAGTTATTCTATAATTTATTCCGTCGAGTCTGTACGTATTCGGAAGATCCACAGATCAACAACTTATTATTATGATTGATAAAATCCAGTGTCAGTATCATTTAGGATTTATCCTCCATATAGATACGCAATTAGACCCTTATTTAAAATTGTTAATATGAGCGGAATGTACGAAAGCACTGACGTTTTCTGACCGTTTAGCATCGTGACTTTCGATAACACCGCTTTTTTACCGAGATGAACGTGACATTACGGATTAGAACAGTACACTGTGAATTGTCAGCTGTTCTCTGCCTGCTGCCAGATTAAAACTAGTGTGTGTGTGTGTGTGTGTGCGCCTGTCTGCCGAGAAAACACACTCACATTGGTTATTATGCTCATCTAGCGTTATTTACCTGTTTGTATGTCAGTGGAGCAGAGGCCCGGCTCCTCCAGCTGCCACCGCTGCGGTCATCATCGCTGCTATGCCCGCTGTCTGCCCTCCTCGGCTCGGTTAAATGAGGTTCGTTCGGCCCGGCTCCTGTTGTTCAAGGGACGTTGGCTGGGATTAGAGCGGTGAACTGAGCTTTCCCTCCGCGCCGTGACATCAGAGCGGATTAACGAGGTTACAAAAGCGCCTTTAACAAGCCCTGCGGTTGATGCTGCTGCTGCTGCTGCTGCTGCCGAGACACATCCACCGTACAGTCGGTGAGTGGGCGGAGCCTCGGCATCATCCTCGTCAACAGTCTGCAGAACAGTGCAGGCACCGCCCATACTCACCTGTTGCAGTTACATTTACCGGCCGTGGTGTCGCTGTTGTTGTTTCTCATTAAAAAGAATGGGATCCCATAAAAAATGAAAAGAGATAAAATATACAAAATGAATGACTGAAAAAATGAAAAGAGATAAAATAGAGATAAAATATACAAAATGAATGACTTAATGTCATGTTTAAAATTATTAAACCTTTTTAATATTACACAAAACACTTTGCCTATAAAAACAATACAATCATTTGATACTATTTTTATTATCAAAAACTGTGACAAAAGGTTTTTATTGAAGTGGTCTGCATTTGAGGAAATTCATTTCTTATAACTCTGTCTGCTGTAAACACTGCTTTAAATGTCTCCCCTCAGTCACATGATCTGTTCTACCAGAGCAACTGTTACCAGAGCAACAGTTATGTGATGTAGGAGGAGGAATGTGGCAATGTGGAACCATCACTCAGTCACACACAAACAGTGTGTGTACTCCTCTGTGGAGAAGACATACACATCAGATAGATTATATGTATATACAGATTAGACAGGTTAGATATACAGAGTAGATAGGTTAGCTATACAGATTAAATAGATTAGATATACAGATTAGCTATACAGATTGGATAGATTTGATATACAGATTAGATAGATTAGAAATACAGATTAGATAGATTAGATATACAGATTAGATAGATTAGCTATACAGATTAGACAGATTGGATATACAGATTAGCTATACAGATTGGATAGATTTGATATACAGATTAGATAGATTAGAAATACAGATTAGATCAGATATACACATTAGCTATACAGATTAGATAGATTAGCTATACAGATTAGACAGATTGGATATACAGATTAGCTATACAGATTGGATAGATTTGATATACAGATTAGATAGATTAGAAATACAGATTAGATAGATTAGATATACAGATTAGATAGATTAGCTATACAGATTAGACAGATTGGATATACAGATTAGCTATACAGATTGGATAGATTTGATATACAGATTAGATAGATTAGAAATACAGATTAGATAGATTAGATATACAGATTAGATAGATTAGCTATACAGATTAGCTATACAGATTAAATAGATTAGATATACAGATTAGATATACAGAGTAGATAGATTAGACATACAGATTAGGTGAGGTCAGGGGAAGCAGGGGAGGCAGTGCCTCACCTGCCGTCATTATAAAAAAAGAAACGAACACAAGTGTTAATATTTTCCACTGAATACTCATTATGACTCTACACATTTTTTACATTATATTAAGTTAAAGTCGCCGAATTTGAGTATTTCCCGTTCAAAAACAGGGAAGAAATCCCGGGTGAGGCAGCCGAGAGTTGTGCCTCACTTCTGACTGCGCGATCCAATACAAACTGGATCACATGACGCAGGCCTGTTTCTGTTCCAGCCAATAAAGTGCAGAGAAAAGTCAGTAGCGAGACAAACAGTACTCTGCCTCGCCTCAAGGGGTTGTGCCTGAACTGAAAGTCGGCGCTAAGCTAGAGCCAGTAGTAGGTGAAGAATAACGTTTTCTATGATCTGTCTGATCCGACTCACTATGGATTATATTCCACCCATCCATCCATCCATCCATCCGTCATCAACTGCTTATCCGGGGCCGGCTCTTCTGGGGGGGTGAGGGTAGGGACGTAGATTGACCGGTAAATCGAGAGCTTTGCCTTTCGGCTCAGCTCCTTCTTCACCACAACGGACCGACACTGCGGCCGCAGCGTCAATCCGCCTGTCAATCTCACGTTCCATCCTTCCGTCACTCATGAACAAGACCCCAAGATACTTAAACTCCTCCACCTGAGGCAGGACTTCCTCCCCAACCCAGATGGTGCCAACCACCTTTTTCCGGTCGAGAACCATGGCCTCGGACTTAGAGGTGCTAATTCTCATCCCAGCGCCTTTACACTCGACTGCAAACCACCCCAGTGCATGCTGCAGGTCCTGGCTCAAGGGATCAGTGTTCAAGTGTTCAAGGGATCCTCTTCCAGCGCACCGGGGGCAGGCAGATGTCTCACTCTGTGTAGATAACCAAGGAATAATAACATTTAATTGAATGTCTTATTCAAGGTTTGGGAGGAGATCCAGCCTGAGGTGGAGGAGTTTAAGTATCTTGGGGTCTTGTTCATGAGTGACGGAAGGATGGAACGTGAGATTGACAGGCGGATTGACGCTACGGCCGCAGTATCGGTCCGTTGTGGTGAAGAAGGAGCTGAGCCGAAAGGCAAAGCTCTCGATTTACCGGTCAATCTACGTCCCTACCCTCACCTATGGTCATGAGCTTTGGGTCATGACCGAAAGAAAAAAATCCAAGCTACAAGCGGCTGAAATGAGCTTTCTCCGCAGGGCGGCAGAGCGCTCCCTTAGAGATAGGGTGAGGAGCTCTGTCACACGGGAGGAGCTCGAAGTAGAGCCGCTGCTCCTCCACATCGAGAGGAGTCAGCTGAGGTGGCTTGGACATTTACATCGCATGCCCCCCGGACGCCTCCCTCGTAAGGAGCTCGGGTCATGTCTTACTGGGAGGAGATTTAGGGGAAGACCCAGGACACGCTGGAGCGACTGTGTCGCTCAGCTGGCCTGGATGCCTTGGGATCCCCCCAGGAGAGCTGGAGGAAGTGTCTGGGGAGAGGGAAGTCTGGGTGTCCCTGCTCAGACTGTTGCCCCTGCGTCCCGGCCCCAGATAAGCGGACATTGATGGATGGATGGATGAATGTCTTATACATTCCTTCCAGTTCGGTGACATAAGGGAGCTGTGGCGAGCATCGGATCCCAGGAAGGGAGTGCACTATATATAGGTGAGTACACGGTGACTATCCTCAAACAATGCAAGCAGTGATGAATCTTCAAGGTATTACCAGTAAACAAGGCACTCTAAAAGCTTCTTTCTCTTACCGCATAGCACAACACTCTGGCACTGATTCCTCATGGAGCTGGAGCTGGAGCTGAATTGAAAGGACACACCTTCAGTACGCAGCTCTTCAGCCCAGTAATCAAAAGCCCAAAAGCTGAACAGACGTAATGTCACATAACTGGGAAGCAAATGTCTTGACTGAATTTCACAATATGAACAATAACCTCAGTATGAAACACACATGCAAGACACACTCTGGTGCCTCTGGCCTCACACTACTAATGAATGCTCTGTAAACACCGATGGAGGTGACCAGGAAAATGAACCAGATGACTGGTGATACGTGAGGACAGTCCTTGGACCTCCTTGAACACACTGTAACTCATTGTCTTTGCACTGGTTGGTGCACGAGGCTGAAAGGAATCCGGTTCAACATCATTGGAAATGATTAGTTCCAGAAAGAGACCTAATCGTTTCTGGGGAACATAAAGACGAAAAAAGAGGAGTTGATTAAACAAGTGTTAGCAGTTACTCTCGCTGATCCGATTTTCCTTTCCGTGCGAGGTGTCGAGTCTGTTAAAGGACACACCATTAAAATCACAATAACATTTTACAGTATGGCTACTTTTGGGTAAGTGGGTAACTCACCATTCTCACACCTACAGTATGGCTACGTTTGGGTAAGTGGGTAACTCACCATTCTGCATGTTTTGGACACACCCTTCCCCTCCCCATCCCCCTTCCACACAGAAGAAAAATATGGGATATGAACTGGTGATCCTCCACACTCTACACGCAAGAAAGAGAGAGAGAGAGAGAGAGATGGGCCACAGCTGTAAAACAGTGTTTGTTTGTTTCTCTTTTTGTCCGATAGAGTACGATTTGTCTTTTTCTTTTCCCACTCTTCCTCTTATGCAACCATCACCATCAGTCAGTGAGAGGGTCAATAAAAGGTCGTTGCACATTGTGCATTAAAGTCAAAATTAAGTGAGTGGTTTTTTTTTTTTCTAAATAAATGACAGACTTCATATTACACTAAACACTGCCTAAAACCTGAATTCTGAATCCAGGGCAACGGTAGAGATGGCTGCAAAATATTGATTGGATCAGATCGTAAAAGTTTGGATTTTACGGCCTGAACTTTTCCAGTGAAGTCAATTAACCCTGGCTTTGAAGGAGGTTTTCAGCACAAAAATATGCAAATTAATGTCATCTCGCCGGACATTCCTTGGCCAAAAAGTTACAGCTCCATCACCAGGTCCATGTGGAACACATGCGGGGTCACACTGGGCTGCATAAGCACAGGAGTGAGTGAGCCACTAAAGGATGTATGTTGACAGAACAACATTTTACTGCAGGATGGGGAAATGTTTTAAAACGTGTTCTCTCTCATACAGAAGGCCATAGAACAAATGGATCATTCTAACTCAGAAAGACGGAGCAGCTACTGACACTTTGTTGCTCCAACTGTTCAGTTTATGTAACTGAAATAAATTTAAACCAGAATTCTAATTATTAACGTGACAAAATGACAAATTCAAACCTGACTGATGTGTCAATGCGAGACTGCTTTTTTTTTTTTTTTTTTTTTTTGGAAAATCACTGAATATCTCTGTGGGCTTTTGTGCAGTCAATGAATTTATAACCAAGTCTGACTTCATTTATAAACAACTCTTAGCCACACGAAAAAAAATGTAAAAGCATAAATTACTGTAATGACAGAAATTGTTGTCATCGTCCCACATCATAGAGAAGTCCATGGAGAAAATCATAAATTTTGCTCAGCAGGGACGCAGGGGCTGATGTTTTACTGTTGCCTTGTGTGGTAAGTTTGGTTCGCTGGCATAATTCCAACTAAAGGATGGAAAACCCATCAGTTATAAGTGACAGATTGAATCTGGCTGTGAGAGGCAGCGGCGGATCCACAAGTTGCAGTTTCGACCAATCCAATCACTGCTTCTTTTCCAATGGTGCAGGAGAAACAGAATTGTAAAAAAATCCTGGTCATATAATTGTAACAAGACAAACTGGTTTAGGGTGACTTTTGAAGACCACTGTTTTTCATCTCCTTCTCGTTCTGTCGTCCTTCACCACTCCCACGTGTTTGACTTTCACTCACTCCCTCACCAAGTTTCCTTTCCTTCTTAACTTTTCTCCTCCCTCCCTTCCCTTCCCTTCCCTTCCTCTCTTACCCTCCACACCATCATTCACCTTCTCCGTTCCCCTCCTCCTGCAGACTTGGTGCAAGGCGTCAGTGTGCTGCCAGTGTAGGAGCTGGAAAGACACTCCCAGGCTCGAGGATTGTCTTCAGCAAAACAAAACTTTGGCTGCAACTTTTCTTTAGCTTTTTCTTTCAAACTGTGGCCGTAAAAACTTTTTCTGTTTTGATTGCTGGATATTTCTGCAGGGAAAGTCAACCTTTTTGTCCCACCGGAAATCTGCAATGCTGCCACTGTACCTCCTGATGTTGGCTGGTGAGTAACTGTTCTGCTCGGTTCTGCCAGTTCTCTAAATGTTCCGGCCGACGCCAATTTCTGTGATTCACATTTACCATTGCCTCTCTCTCTCTCAATGTTTCCTTCTCTTTTAACGTCTTTTCTACCTTTCCTAATTTTCTTCTCTTTTTTTTTTTTCAAAGTCAGGATCCAGGCGCTTCCAGGCTCCTGTAACTTTGAGAGCAACACCTGCGACTACACGTCAGATCCGGACTTCAGCAGCTGGACCTTGCACATAGATGGTATTTGCGTCTTCATTCATCGTAAAAAATCCTTGCTTTTTGCATTCACTTTAGATGTTTGCTAACATCGTGGATTCTGCAGAGGCAGGTTCGAGCCACGGCGTCTTGTGTTTTTGGTGCTGGATGTGGCCAAAGCCACAGCAGCACAAAGAGTCATCTGGTGTGCATTGACTGCCAGTATCTGGAGCTGAACATCTGGAGCCAGTAAAATAACACATGTAGGTTTTTCTGCTGGCTGCATAGGATGAGCACTGAACACACCCATGTATCTGTGTTCTGTCACACGGTATCTGCATGCAAGGATCAAAGAAGCACACTGATTAGATCATTTCGTTTTTCTTTTTTTTTATCAGATGTTAAAGATGATGCCTTTTGTTGAAGCTCCGACAGATTGGATGCTAAATCTTTACTGTGATACTTGAATAAATCCATGTTTCACTGAACATTAGCACTGAACAAATCCCTAATTCCCTCGTCAACTTTTATGTTATTTTGTGGAACTACATCAACACATAATAATACACGTAAAGATACGGTTGATTTGATAATTGTAGATTCAACATTTAGGAAGAGGTGCAATGTAGTCAAAATTGGAGCAAGTATTACCAAATACAGAATTGTTACAAACAGCTAACACAATAGCTAAACATGTTTCTAAAATAGATTCAATTTAGCAGGATTAGCAATCTAAGGTTAGCCAAATGAAGCTAAAATATTTAGCTTAGATGTAGAATGTCAAAAATGTATAGAAAAATCTCAAAAAGAGAATTTTAAAATTGTGTGAGAGGTGACTAAAGGTTAGCTTAGACGCAAAACATACTTAGCAATAACTAGAAACAAAAAAGAAGACAGTTACAAAATGAAGAGTCATCACAGTATTTCTATTCTAACCTCACTTCATTTGCTCAGCTTTTCTCTCCTGTTCTGTCTAGTCAGTGTTTGCAGCCAAATCCCGGTGGAAAAACTTCGTCTTTGACTCTTTCTCTCCCTCCGTTCCTTAATCCTTCCTCCATTCTTTGCTCAAACATATCTGAAAATGTCTCTGCTGGACAGTGTCAACTTCCTTATTTCCTGTTTCCATCCTTGTCGCCATAGGCTAGTTAGAAAAGGTCAGAAAAGGTAGAAGTTCTTCTTCTACTGCACCACTTTTTTTTTTCTTTTTTTTTTTAGTAAAATGACATCACTCCTCAACTCTGAGGGTCTGTGCCCATGAATGTAAACATGTGTTTTTGCGAATTGAGGAGCCTCGGGGTCATCAGGCTAAGAAATACATAACAGAGCTGGCAGTGAGGGCCGATCAGAGTCGAGAAGAGCAAATAAGAATACAGTCAAAGTTAAGAACAAAGTTAATATTTAGAACCACATTGCAAAACCCCGGACTCTCTGAATGGCCACAAAGTTTGCATTTCGTGTGCACTTTTTTTTTGAAGAACATCCCGAGGAGCTGCAGGAAGAGAAAAGCTCAAAACATTTTTCCCCGATGTCAGACCTGCAGCCTCATAAATCTATGATCGGAGAGGGTTTCAGTCAAGAATTTAAGCAAAATTGTTTCTGAAAAAAACAAGAAGTGATTTCCTGGGTAAATCCTGGGACAAGGAGTTCCTGTCGTCTTTTCTCATGTTTAATTACAAAGTTAAAGATGAGTAGATGCAGTGAGGTGTTCGAGAGGGGAATCATGAAGGTGATGAAAAAAGTAAACTTCTGGGGTTTATTTTCGTCGAGACTCAGATCTTCAGCCGGACAATGGTTGCAATAGTTGAATCAAAAACTTGTACAAAGCTTCATATCCTAGGTTCTTAATCTATATTTTTATTCAATGTGATCTGGTCAGAGGGTTGGAGTAAAGAACAAAATGTTACATGCAACATTTACGGTCTATTGAGCACACCTGAATATAAGCCACATCCACTAAATTAAAAAAGAAAAAAAAAGTAATTGTACATATCTGTCACGTGCGGGCAGCGACAGGAAGCAGGCAGGACCCAAGTGCAGTACTGGTGCAGGTCGTTTTATTAACAAAGTCCAAATTAACGAAACACAAAGAACTACCAGGCATGGAATTCTCTTTGTAACACGGAACACAAGGAAAAAACAGAACAGGAAACTCACGAACTGCTACTAGAACACGAACAGCCTGACAGAACAAACTGAACAATGATCCAACTACAATGATCCAACCCCGACAGAGTGAGGGAGAGGGGTATATATACACAGGGAACACCAGGTGACACAAGTGAAGCTAATTACCAACAGGTGAGTGTGATCCCACAGATTACCCCACAAAGAACACAGGAAAACACGGAAACAGACAGACATGACAATAACTAGGCCTCACTTCTTTATAAGCATGAGACATTTACATGGAAAGATGTTACACAGAAATTTTTTTTTTTCACTTAAATAAATGTTTTTCTCCGAAGAAAACTGAATTTTTTAAAAAAAAATTTTTTAAAAATTCATAAAAAGAATCCCTGAACCCTGGGGTTTCACACCAACGACAGGCCTCACTTCTTTATAAGCATGAGACATTTACATGGAAAGATGTTACACAGAAATTTTTTTTTTTCACTTAAATAAATGTTTTTCTCCGAAGAAAACTGAATTTTTTAAAAAAAAATTTTTTAAAAATTCATAAAAAGAATCCCTGAACCCTGGGGTTTCACACCAACGACAGAGACATTGCCTCTGGGCCAAAGCGCCACAGATTTTCTTTCACTTTTAATTAAATGAATGCTTTTTTCCGAACAGTGCCTGTAACACGACTGGTTACACATTAGCTCTTTCCTGCTTCAAAGCCCCAACTGTAGTTGGAATGAACAGAGGAGACTTAGTGATCTGCTCCAGGTCTGAAGCTAACATTAGCTTCGTGGCTAACTCCCTTCACTTTGTGCTTGTCCACAGCAGAGGTAAACAGAAACAGTGAAGTTGGGGTCTTTATTATCAGCCACACTGACCACAACAGAACATAAACAGAGTTTTAACAGCTCCTGTATAACCAACTCACACTTCAACATGACAGGGGCTCAAACTGCTCTCAACTTTAGCTACTACTCTCTCTCTCTCTTGCACGCCCCACGCTCATATACACTCACAGCCATTCACAGACAGACATATGCTGCTAATATAACACACAGTAGCCTACCAGAAATGTCATTGATCACTAGCAGTATGAATTTTGTTAGCCCGTAAAAATCCATTGTTTAAGCCGCACGGTTCAAAGCACGTGAAAAAAATAACGGATTACAGACCGGAAATGACGGTATATCCAGTTTTATTAAAATCTATCTTTATTCTATTTTTAAATACAAAAAAACTGATTTGGTAATTTCCCAGAGACATACTTTCATAGGAGAGTTAAAAAGTCAATAAAAGTTTTTTTTCTGTAAATTCAGGCGTTACAAATAAAATATTTCATGGTCATGGGTCATGACCGAAAGAACGAGATCCCGGATACAAGCGGCAGAAATGAAAGTCCGGGTGTCCCTGCTCAGACTGTTGCCCCCGCGACCCGGCCCCGGATAAGCGGTTGATGATGGATGGATGGATGGATGGACAAATAAAATATTTTGAAAACTGAATAAAGAAATAGGTGGTGTTGAGCCTTTGGTTTTTCTCGCCCTTGTCAAGTTTCAATATTAAGACAAAGGAACATGGCAGATCGTCTGTCAAGACAAGGCCTTCATTCCAGGGTATTTGAATCATGAGGAGGAAACAGTAAAAAAAAAAAAAAAACATAAATAAACCAAGGAGTAAATGTTAACAACATCCATTTCCTCCTTTTGTCCCAGGTCACTTTGTGGCGGTCGACTCACTTGGAACTGATGATCAAACGGCTGAAAAAGAACCAGATGATGACCCCCAGAAGGAGATCAGGGGTGTTCTGTTGAGTTCAGTTCTGGACCAGAGTGACTGGAGCTGTCTCAGGTTGGTCTACCAGATTACAGGGTCAGGGACTCTGGAGGTGCTGCAGCGTATGGAAGGAAAGAGCCTGGACAGACCCCTGTGGAGCAGCCAGACGGCCTCAGACAGCTGGGTCATCTCCAGCATGGACCTGAGGAACAACACTGAACCTTACAGGGTAAGAGACATTACACGATCTCTGATCTTTGTTTGAATCTAAGGCTGCCTTCAGAGGACGAGACGGGGCTTGGGTTAAAAGCTCCTCTGATGTATCCTGGAGGTTGTTTATCTTTCTGAAGGATCAGTGGTTCATTTGGATTCCATTTCCAAAGTAGGGTTTGTTAATCTGACTATACCTGCAATTCTTACATTTCCCTACTATCAGAAGAAAATGGTAAGGTCCTGATAAAAGCATAATTAACTGACCATGTGTGACACACACCTTTGTAAATAATGTCAAGAAACATAATGTCCCCCCAAATCTAGGATCTGCTAACTGAATGGTAGGGAACCCAGAACCTTTTGGCTGTTGGCAAGAATCCTTCTTCTTCTTGTCTTTCATAATTTTTTCGCTGTTTTCGTTACACCTGGTGTCCTTCTTCAAAACATCTACAGATCTTCTGAGATCTTCTGAGATCTCTTCTAACAATTCCATCAAGTCACAATCTCTCCGCCGCTAATATTCAAAACTTCAAGCCAGAGGTGGGACCAAGTCGTTGCTTTGCAAGTCATAAGTAAGTCTCAAGTCTTTGCACTCAAGTCCGAGTCAAGTCTCAAGTCAAGACAGGCATCGTCCGAGTCGAGTCCAAGTCAAGACTAAAAAGTGTCAAGTCAAGTCCCAAGTCCATACGTTTCTGTTTCGAGTCCTTTTAAACAAAAATAATAATATATTTACACAGATCACTTTGGGTTTTGAAGAAAGCATCAAGTCTTGTCGAGTCAAAGGGCTCGAGTCCAAGTGAAGTCACGAGTCATTGATGTTAAAGTCCAAGTCGAGTTCCAAGTCTCTTTACACTTTGTCAAGTCGAGTCTAAAGTCATCAAATTGATGACTCGAGTCTGACTCGAGTCCAAGTCGTGAGACTCGAGTCCACACCTCTGCTTCAAGCCTCTCACCAATCAAAATGAGTTCCTCTGATCTGCTCTAATCCTCTTAGTCTTCAAACAAGGTCAAATGCCATCACCATCCCAAACAGCACAGAGGGTCTCACTATTGGCCCGAGTTCCACTGACACCAATAAGGTGAATGTAAAGTAGCATCGTAATTTTAGACTATTTTTAGACTATTGAGCGCACCTGAATATAAGAAGCACCCACTAAATTTAAAAAGAAAAACAAATTATCGTACATACACTATATTACCAAAAGTATTCGCTCACCCATTCAAATGATCAGAATCAGGTGTCCTAATCCCTTGGCCTGGCCACAGGTGTATAAAATCAAGGGCAAGTGCAAAGAGGTCGCCGACTTTCTGCACAGTCAATTGCTACAGAGCTACAAACTTCATGTGACCTTCAGATTAGCCCAAGTACAGTACGCAGAGAGCTTCATGGAATGGGTTTCCATGGCCGAGCAGCTGCAGCCAAGCCACGCATCACCAAGTGCAATGCAAAGCATCAGTTGCAATGGTGTAAAGCACACTGCCACTGGCCTCTAGAGTAGTGGAGACGCGTTCTCTGGAGTGATGAATCACGCTTTTCCATCTGGCAATCTGATGGACGAGTCTGGGTTTGGAGGTTGCCAGGAGAACGGTACATTTCAGACTGCATTGTGCCGACTGTGAAATTTGGTGGAGGAGGAATTATGGTGTGGGGTTGTTTTTCAGGAGCTGGGCTTGGCCCCTTAGTTCCAGTGAAAGGAACTTTGAATGCTTCAGGATACCAAAACATTTCGGACAATTCCATGCTCCCAACCTTGTGGGAACAGTTTGGAGCGGGCCCCTTCCTCTTCCAACATGACTGTGCACCAGTGCACAAAGCAAGGTCCATAAAGACATGGATGACAGAGTCTGGTGTGGATGAACTTGACTGGCCTGCACAGAGTCCTGACCTGAACCCGATAGAACACCTTTGGGATGAATTAGAGCGGAGACTGAGAGCCAGGCCTTCTCGACCAACATCAGTGTGTGACCTCACCAATGCGCTTTTGGAAGAATGGTCAAAAATTCCTATAAACACTCTCCTCAACCTTGTGGACAGTCTTCCCAGAAGAGTTGAAGCTGTAATAGCTGCAAAAGGTGGACCGACATCATATTGAACTCTGGGTTAGGAATGGGATGGCACTTCAGTTCATAGTATGAGTCAAGGCAGGTGAGCCAATACTTTTGGTAATATAGTGTATCTCCTCTTTGTCTCCTACCTGGTAGCTCCATCTCTAACATTCTTTTACCAATGAGGGTTTCATGAGCTGGAAGCCCAAATGATGTAAAAATAAACAAATACTTGAGGTTGTTTAAATTGTGGGCCCTGAATCTATAATCTGTGAAAGTTTAACTTTTTGAATGGAATTATGGAAATAAATAAACTTTTCCATGATATTCTGTGATTTGCTCCAGGGCTGAAGCTAACATTAGCTCCAGTGCTAACTCCCTTCACTTTGTGCTTGTCCACAGCAGAGGTAAACAGAAACAGTGAAGTTGGGGTCTTTATTATCAACCACACCGAGCACAACAGAACATAAACAGAGTTTTAACAGCTCCTGTATAACCAACTCACGCTTCAACATGACAGGGGCTCAAACTGCACCTAAACTTTCACTACTATTCTCTCTCTTGCAAGTGCCCCACATATGCTACTAGTATAACACACAGTAGCCTATCAGAAAAGTCACTGATCACTAGCGGTATAAACTTTGTTACTATTAGTACTATTATCCATAGCTTAGAAACAGACAACTGCACTGAGTAATTCTCCACAAGACATTTCACAGGTGCTTCATTTCTTCAGATAAAATGAGTTGAATGACACGGACATTCGAAATAATAGTTTTGCCCAAAAGTTTTTTAAAAAAAACCCACACAAAATATTTCTGTAGAAATCTGTTTCAAATAATGTAGTGTAGAAGGAAGGACAGCAGCAGAAAAAAAACCCAAAACAAAACAAAAGATGCATGTAATCAGTGTCAGCTTTAATTCAAAATAACACAGATACTAGTGTTGAGAGCAGGCATACATAGGTTAACATCACCCTCACACACACACAGGTATTATATAAACATTATGTGGGAACCCCACTGCACATGTTTATGTTCCAGGCAGGGGCGGAGTCCACTTTGACAGGGGTCCTGACCTAGAAAATTGAAACTCGGGGCCGGTTTTCAGAGTGAGGGGCCCCATGTGGTACATAAACACACTTTAGTACAGAGCAGGCTGGAAAAATGAATTGTGTGTATGACAGTTTTGACTTGGCTGCTAAAAGGTTTAGATATTTCCCATCATTGGATTTTCCTCCAGAGAGGATCAATGTGGGCCCCATGTAAGTTGTCTAATTTGGATTTGAGTCACATTTCACCCCATTGCTGATCGCCGATACCCATACAAGGTTACAAAAAACAGATCTCATACAGACATGTGGCAAGTAGTTGTCATCTGTGACAACGATGGAGTCTGGAGTATGGACCAGATGTTTGTAAATGATGTCTATAAAAGTTATACCATGTCATTAAAGCCCCTCGCTTTGGTTGTTAGTAAGGATGTCCGATATTATCGATATGACATGTGCCATATCTAGACTGCAATGTAATTATATTATGCATCCATTGGTTCTGACCCTTCATCTGTCTGTGATGTCATCAGGCAGCATCCGGTTGTATCAGTTACATTGCTGATACTAAAAAGTTGTTGTTGATTTAGGTTGTGATGGAGGGAAAACCTGGACGCAGCACCGGGAGCAGTGTGTCCATCTTTGAAATCCACATCAGTCCGGGATACTGTCTGGGTGAGTAGGCTAACATGTCACCTCACATGTCAAATATTTTTACATATAGTCCACGAGATCATGTGTGTATTAGAGTTGGCCTGTCAGTATATAGCCCCTATGTACTGACAGGGTTTAGAGTAGTAGCAGTGCATCCACTGGGATTGGCACAAGTTTTTTTTTTTATCTATTTCCAGGGTCTTATGCATCCATTGGTTCTGACCCTTCATCTGTCTGTGATGTCATCAGGCAGCCTCCGGTTTTATCAGTTACATTGCTGATACTAAAAAGTTGCTGTTGATTTAGGTTGTGATGGAGGGAAAACCTGGACGCAGCACTGGGAGCAGTGTGTCCATCTTTGAAATCCACATCAGTCCGGGATACTGTCTGGGTGAGTAGGCTAACATGTCACCTCACATGTCAAATATTTTTACATAAATTAAACTCCGCAGTCTGTAGAGTCTTCTTCCTTTTTCGGCTGTTCTCAACAGGGGATCATCCCCCCCCCCCATCTCACCCTATCTCCTGCCACCTCTGCTTTCATCCCATCTCCATGTCCTCCTCTGAGCTCCTTCTCTTCTCCTCTTTCCTGGCAACTCCATCTCCAACATCCTTTATCCAATATCCTTACTATCTGTCCTCAACCTTATCTCCAAACTTCAACTCTGATGCTACTCCTGTTTTCCTGTGCTTTTCTGTTATGAAGAGTGTAACTTCGAGGAGTCTCACCTGTGCGGGTACAGTAATCAATGGAACGCCAATGTCAACTGGTATGTAGGAGGCGGAGGTCTGCAGCTCCTGTCCAACAGCATGACCAACGACCACACCTTCAACAACAAAACAGGTGAAAACCCGTTTCAAAGACCAAGCATTGTAATCGTTAGCTTGATTCTGAGATGTACGGTGTATTTGCTGATCAAGAGATTCGAGATTCACGATTCGAAGAGTTCAAAGGTTCATAGCCAGGTACAATGGCAAAAGCGTGTTTCTCAGTACAAATTTAAAGTGAGAAAATGTAATGCGATGCTGTGGACCGTGGTTCTGACTCCTGTCAACTGTTCAGGAGTCTGATAGCAGAGGGAAGGGCACTTCTGTAACCTCGGGCCTGAGGGTAGAAGTGTGAGCAGTCCGTGTTGTGAAGAGCCCCCTACACTTCAAGCCCTCAAATAACCAGGTCTCCCCTCCTTCCTCTCCTTCCTCATGTCCACTAGAGGATGTTGTCCTCACACAATGGCACTAGACCAGGCACCTTCTACCTATAGGTAGGCCAATCACAGTAGTGTCATCTGCGAACTTCTGGTACGCATATTGCAGGGGGCCCAGTGTGTCTGGAATGCTGCTCTGAATGTGGCCATGACCACTGTCTCGAAAACATTTTGCTATGATTTGGGGTGATAGCTATTGGCCTATANNNGAAGAGGTTGCTGGGTTTTTCTTTGGAAGGGGAAAGATGGTTGCAGTAAACCACTGTATGAGGTGCTGCCACCTAGTGACTGGAGGCGTGTGTATTGTTCAAGCATTACAGCAGCGGTACACTTCTGTCCAGTCTCTCACACCCAACTCCTCCCGATCCCTTTCCTTCCCCACCCCAAACCTATGGCACCTCACTGCCCTACTATTTGAGAAGTACTGTAGTAATGTGAGATGACGTGATGCACGTGATACTTTAAGATACTTTAAGATACTTTAAGGTCATTCGTGAAGACAGTATGAAACAGTAGAGGTATGTCCTTCTCAAACATTTCGTAGGTCACTTTATGTACGTGGACTCCGTCTACTCCAAGACTTTTCAGGAGGTGGCCAAACTGTCGTCATCCATGACGACAGGGCCGCTGTCGGGCTGCCTGAGTTTTCAGTACCAACGGAGTGAGGAGAGAGGGAACATGTTCTCCGTTTACACAAGGGATCGTCTGGGTCAGTACCACGAACTATGGAAGGCTGGACCTGAGAACCGCAGTGAATGGAGCGACACACTCAGAGAATGGATTCCTGCCCAGGTGGACCTGAAGGCACCTTACTCTGTACAGGTAAGCAACAGCAGTGTAAAGATGGATTTACTGTTGTTAGTTTTTGAAACATATAGAGCAAGCCGCTGTATATTAGGCTAGCCCTCAGCAGACATCACTATGTTGGTTGGCTACGTGACTGTATCTCTCCCCGTAGCTTGTCTTTGAGGTGGCCTTCAACAGTCCAAGAGGTGGACGAGTCGCACTTGATGATATTTCCTTTTCGCCTGAGTTTTGCAGCAGAGACACGGGTAAGCAACATTCACTCAGTAGCGACAATAAAACAGATCTTTTCTGAATTGGTGTATGTCAAGTGTACTCTCTCACCACAGAGCCGACGTTTGATCCTTCCATTGCCAGCTGCGATTTTGAGTCGGGTTTCTGTCGTTATACCCAGGACCAGGGCGTGGGGTCATTATGGAAGAGAGTGTCAGTGAAGCCCAATCTTTTTTGGGGTGGAGATCATACCACCGGAGCAGGTGACAACACAACGAATCCATATTGTAAAGAATAAGAATAAGCAGTAGGGGTCGCAAGTAAGAAATCGCAGGTTAGCATAAAATCTCAGTCGCTGTGAAACGCTGCTCGGACATTTTATGAGGTAGTTCATGGACTCTTCAGATTTTCTGTGATTTTGCTCAGTCTTTTGTGGTCAGATGGAAGAAACCCAACTACACATGTACAGTATGAGCTCACCCAGAGCCCCAGCTCTGATTTTACCACTATGGAAAATCACTGTCGTTGCTAATGTAAACAGTAGGCTTAAGGGAAAAAACGAGGGAGGGAGAAAATAAAAAAAAAGGTTCTACATTATGATCTACACTACACTTCTTGTCAACTCCAAAGCATTCCTTTTTTGCTGCATAAGCTAACGTCAAGCTGTTCATGTTTACATTAATTCAGCTAATTGTTTTTTACCCGAGAGAGAAAGAGGGAGAGTGAGTGATATAGAGATTGAGCATTAGCTACGTTTCAGGAATGTTTTAGCCGTGCTTTGCTAACCTTACACTATAACTAGAACATACGTTATGGCTAATTTTAGATCCTTTTTGGACAATGGTTAGCTGTTAGTTCTAAAGATTAGTTCTTTCGTTGCAGGATCTTTTGTTCTGGCCCACTCCAGACTGAGCCCACGCTCAGGCTACGTCAGTCGGCTCATTGGTCCGACCCTGCCAGGAAACATGAAGTTCTGCCTCAGTTTCGTCTTCTCACTCAGGGGTGAGCTTGTTCAACACATCTTGCATCGATGCAGATGGAAATTGCTTTTCTTATTTTCTCAGCGTCTTTCTGTGACTCAGTATTTCTGTCAATTATTTTTTTACTGAATCGCCAAAGCAGAAATAAGTCTGGTTCTGTGGTTTGTGCAGGTTTTAACCAGACAGACCAGGCTCTGACGGTGTATCTGCAGCACCACAGTGGCAGCGGTCAGCAGAAGATCTGGACTCAGGCAGAGAAGTCCAGAGGAATCTGGATAGCTTCCGACGTCACCTTTCAAACATCACAGCCCGCCAAGGTCAGAGGAAGGAGGGATGTGTAGAATAAACTAGGAAGAGTGATTGTATGACTGCAAAAAGAATGAATGTGGAGAGAATTGAATTAAAATGTAGTGATAAAAAGATGGCGCAAAAAACACAAACGAATGAACGCGCTATTGTCTTAACTTCATTTTTACGTTTATCTCCTTGATATGTCATGCCATCTGTGAAAACTGATGTGTCCAATTTAATTTAGCTTACCTTTAGGGTAAGGTTTAGCTATTTCTGGGCTAATAATGATTTAGCTTGTTCAAATTTTTTTACGATTTGTCCACTCAGCTGGTTTTCGTCAGCACCTGCAAGAGTTTCTGGGACTGTGGCTCTGTGGCTCTGGATGACATCGACGTTAACCTCGGAGACTGTGCGCAGATGTCCGCAGGTAACAGCTGTGAAAGCATCAAAGACTATATAAAGCAGTGCTTCTCAAATGGTGGGATGTCCCTCTCCTGGGGCATGGGAGTGGACTTTCAGTATGCAGTGTTCCCTCTCTGTACGGTTCTCCTTTCGCTCCCTCGGTACGTTTCAGATTCTTTTTTTTAAATCCGATCTCGGGAAATTTTCGCTATATCGCAAAATATAGCAAAAGAATAAACTAAAAGACATTGTTAAAAATTATACATTCGCGAAGGATCGCTGGTAGCTTTGTTTACCTAGACGATATTATTATTGGCCAATGCAATACGCCTTGTACTCATCCTTGTGGAAAGCAACACAGTCCTGGGTGAACAGAGTGTAGAACGCACGGGTCAAACTCAGGTCAAATCTGACCCACTGTGTAATTAGATTTGGCCCACAAGATCATTTAAAATGTGTACTAGAGTTGGCCCGCCAGTATATAGCCCCTATATACTGACAGGATTTGTAATATTAACTCATAGTGGAGTTACCACTATGTTGGTAACTCCAGGGGGCCCCAGTGCCTGACCTTCTTCTATCACATGTACGGCTCTGGGTGCGGTCAGCTCAGCGTCCATTTGGACAAAGGTGGAGAAGAAACGCTGCTGTGGAGACACAGCGGAGAGCAGAGCATCACCTGGCTGAGGGCACGAGTGGAATATCAGTCTGACAGACAGGAGCAGCTGGTCGTCCAGGTGAGATCGGAGATGTGGACTCCTAGGAACCTAGGAACACCGCCGCCCCCTTGATGTGGACAGCATTCCTCCTGAAGTCCACGATGAGCTCCTTAGTCTTCTCAGTATTGAGCAGCAGGTTGTTGGTGTCGCACCACTTAGCCAGACGATTCACATTTTCCCTGTTGTCTTTGATGAGGCCGATCACCATGGTGTCATCTGCAAACTTAATGATTCATGAGTGTTGGAACCAGCGACAGGTCTGCAGTCATGGGTGAGGAGGGAGTAGAGGAAGGGACTCATCACACAGCCTTGTGGTACACCAGTGTTTATAGTCATGGTAGATGACCAATGGTTATCCAGCCACACATGTTGGGGCCGGCTGGTTAGGAAATCGAGTAACCAGGTGTGAGAGGACAGAGTGCTATGGAGACTGCATCCTCTGTGCTCCTGTTCTGACCGTATGCAAATTGGTAGGGGTCCAGGGTGGAGGGGAGACAGGATTTTAGGTGTGCTAGGACCAGCCGCTCGAAGCATTTTGTAATGATGGGGGTGAGGGCTACCGGGCGGTAGTCATTGAGGCTTGATGGGTTGGAGTTTTTGGGTATTGGGTACAATGGAGGAGATTTGAAGCAGGTCGGTACCACAGCACGGGCCAAGGACAGGTTGAATATGTCCATCGGCACTCCACTGCCAGTTCCCCAGAACACGCTCTGAGAACACGTCCAGGGATGCCATCAGGACGCGCAGCCTTGTGGACTATAGTCCTGCTCAGCACCGCTTCTACATCGGCGGGGGAGAGAGTCCGTGATTGGTGGTCTGTAGTCACATCTGCCTTGGTTACGGTTGTTGGGTTTCCCCCTCTCAAAACGGCCATAAAATTGTTGAGCTGGTTGAGGAAGGGGTCATCAGAGGAGGCAAGGGAGCGGTGGATGGTCCTGTAGTCTGTGATGATTTGGAGTCCTTGCCACATACATCAGGGGTTGGAGTCAGAGAAGTGTTCTTCTACCTTCCCTTTGTAGTGGTGTTTGGCTTTTTTTGATGTCCCTCTTCAGGTCAGCCCTGGCTGTACTGTAGGCCTGTGCACCCCCCGACCGGAAGGCGGGGTTTCAGGCCTTCAGCAGGGATCTTTTGTTCTGGCCCACTCCAGACTGAGCCCACGCTCAGGCTACGTCAGTCGGCTCATTGGTCCGACCCTGCCAGGAAACATGAAGTTCTGCCTCAGTTTCGTCTTCTCACTCAGGGGTGAGCTTGTTCAACACATCTTGCATCGATGCAGATGGAAATTGCTTTTCTTATTTTCTCAGCGTCTTTCTGTGACTCAGTATTTCTGTCAATTATTTTTTTACTGAATCGCCAAAGCAGAAATAAGTCTGGTTCTGTGGTTTGTGCAGGTTTTAACCAGACAGACCAGGCTCTGACGGTGTATCTGCAGCACCACCGTGGCAGCGGTCAGCAGAAGATCTGGACTCAGGCAGAGAAGTCCAGAGGAATCTGGATAGCTTCCGACGTCACCTTTCAAACATCACAGCCCGCCAAGGTCAGAGGAAGGAGGGATGTGTAGAATAAACTAGGAAGAGTGATTGTATGACTGCAAAAAGAATGAATGTGGAGAGAATTGAATTAAAATGTAGTGATAAAAAGATGGCGCAAAAAACACAAACGAATGAACGCGCTATTGTCTTAACTTCATTTTTACGTTTATCTCCTTGATATGTCATGCCATCTGTGAAAACTGATGTGTCCAATTTAATTTAGCTTACCTTTAGGGTAAGGTTTAGCTATTTCTGGGCTAATAATGATTTAGCTTGTTCAAATTTTTTTACGATTTGTCCACTCAGCTGGTTTTCGTCAGCACCTGCAAGAGTTTCTGGGACTGTGGCTCTGTGGCTCTGGATGACATCGACGTTAACCTCGGAGACTGTGCGCAGATGTCCGCAGGTAACAGCTGTGAAAGCATCAAAGACTATATAAAGCAGTGCTTCTCAAATGGTGGGATGTCCCTCTCCTGGGGCATGGGAGTGGACTTTCAGTATGCAGTGTTCCCTCTCTGTACGGTTCTCCTTTCGCTCCCTCGGTACGTTTCAGATTCTTTTTTTTAAATCCGATCTCGGGAAATTTTCGCTATATCGCAAAATATAGCAAAAGAATAAACTAAAAGACATTGTTAAAAATTATACATTCGCGAAGGATCGCTGGTAGCTTTGTTTACCTAGACGATATTATTATTGGCCAATGCAATACGCCTTGTACTCATCCTTGTGGAAAGCAACACAGTCCTGGGTGAACAGAGTGTAGAACGCACGGGTCAAACTCAGGTCAAATCTGACCCACTGTGTAATTAGATTTGGCCCACAAGATCATTTAAAATGTGTACTAGAGTTGGCCCGCCAGTATATAGCCCCTATATACTGACAGGATTTGTAATATTAACTCATAGTGGAGTTACCACTATGTTGGTAACTCCAGGGGGCCCCAGTGCCTGACCTTCTTCTATCACATGTACGGCTCTGGGTGCGGTCAGCTCAGCGTCCATTTGGACAAAGGTGGAGAAGAAACGCTGCTGTGGAGACACAGCGGAGAGCAGAGCATCACCTGGCTGAGGGCACGAGTGGAATATCAGTCTGACAGACAGGAGCAGCTGGTCGTCCAGGTGAGATCGGAGATGTGGACTCCTAGGAACCTAGGAACACCGCCGCCCCCTTGATGTGGACAGCATTCCTCCTGAAGTCCACGATGAGCTCCTTAGTCTTCTCAGTATTGAGCAGCAGGTTGTTGGTGTCGCACCACTTAGCCAGACGATTCACATTTTCCCTGTTGTCTTTGATGAGGCCGATCACCATGGTGTCATCTGCAAACTTAATGATTCATGAGTGTTGGAACCAGCGACAGGTCTGCAGTCATGGGTGAGGAGGGAGTAGAGGAAGGGACTCATCACACAGCCTTGTGGTACACCAGTGTTTATAGTCATGGTAGATGACCAATGGTTATCCAGCCACACATGTTGGGGCCGGCTGGTTAGGAAATCGAGTAACCAGGTGTGAGAGGACAGAGTGCTATGGAGACTGCATCCTCTGTGCTCCTGTTCTGACCGTATGCAAATTGGTAGGGGTCCAGGGTGGAGGGGAGACAGGATTTTAGGTGTGCTAGGACCAGCCGCTCGAAGCATTTTGTAATGATGGGGGTGAGGGCTACCGGGCGGTAGTCATTGAGGCTTGATGGGTTGGAGTTTTTGGGTATTGGGTACAATGGAGGAGATTTGAAGCAGGTCGGTACCACAGCACGGGCCAAGGACAGGTTGAATATGTCCATCGGCACTCCACTGCCAGTTCCCCAGAACACGCTCTGAGAACACGTCCAGGGATGCCATCAGGACGCGCAGCCTTGTGGACTATAGTCCTGCTCAGCACCGCTTCTACATCGGCGGGGGAGAGAGTCCGTGATTGGTGGTCTGTAGTCACATCTGCCTTGGTTACGGTTGTTGGGTTTCCCCCTCTCAAAACGGCCATAAAATTGTTGAGCTGGTTGAGGAAGGGGTCATCAGAGGAGGCAAGGGAGCGGTGGATGGTCCTGTAGTCTGTGATGATTTGGAGTCCTTGCCACATACATCAGGGGTTGGAGTCAGAGAAGTGTTCTTCTACCTTCCCTTTGTAGTGGTGTTTGGCTTTTTTTGATGTCCCTCTTCAGGTCAGCCCTGGCTGTACTGTAGGCCTGTGCACCCCCCGACC